GCTTTTTAAAGTGGTTCGGATGCTAAGGTAGCAAGTCCTACGTCCACTGATTTGTATTAGTAATGTGGGTCAGGTCGCAACAGCGGACTAACTTACATATGAATAGGAAAAGTAAATACAGAGTTTGCAAGAGAGAGAGAGAGTTCCAGTGTAAAAAATGGCCGAATCCCCTTAATGAAGGGGTCTTCTTCTTTTTATAACCAGATGAGGGCGTGTAGTCATCATTAAATCCATGAGTTGGTGTGAGTGTCAGGACATAATCCGGCTTTACGTCCCATTGCCCCCTTCCCAAGCTGATTTCACGCGATTTATTGCAGGGAAATGGACGCGTGGGAGCTCCATAGTGCTTGGCAGGCCTGACGTGTACCTACCGTTCTGACGGGAGTAGGTCACACTGCATCACGTGACTTTCCACGTCAACCCTTGTTTTCCTAGGCATAACATTTTAAGAGGGGGAGTATGATGTAGGACAGATTTTCCTAAATTAGGATTAGTTTTTATTTTCCTTCTTGTCAATTATATTTTCTAATTTTGGTTAAGATTTTAATTTGAAGTTTAGTTTTTTATTAGAATTTCTGTTAAATCAATTAGGAAGAATCTTTTTCAGTTAAGTTTGATTTTCCTATTTTATAATTTGTTGTTCTAGTAGTATTAGGATTTTCTTATTTCTTGTTCTAGTAATACTAGGATTAGTTTACCATAAATATGCTTGTTATCCTACAACCAATTATCAATGAATTATTAACAAAATTTCTCAAATGATTCTATGGATTTGTTATCTTCTGGTGGATTCGAGAGTTATTCTTTGTGGATTTGAGCCGCTATGCTAGAGTGTATCTAGTGCCTATCTTATTCTGTTGCATTAGATGGTGGTGGTTGTAGGGGTCATATAGGTTGCAAGCATTGTGCTCAATGATGGAAGGATGAGATTTGGTGGTGGCTAGCAAAATACGAAATGAAGCCCAACCATACTAGGACGTTAGTCTTAGGCTGAGAAACCTAGTCACGCTTAGCCGCCAACATGAGACACAATGTAGTATAATACTAGGTTGACTGTTAGGCAGTGATGTTGGGCTTCACGCGGCCACTCATTGCTATCAGCAACGAACCACTTAATTTACCTATGCCATTTTCTTTTTGTTGGAAAATCAATTAAAAAAACACTATCAATGTCGTTTGATTTTAATCCTCAATTTTATCATTTAATTTTAATGTGTTTGTTTGAAGAATTGTTTGTTTCAATTCATTGATATTCAGTAAGAGTTACAGGCTTTATATATGGAAGATACAATCTATAGAATCTTCTAATTATGTCAATTACATACATAATTAGAAGATTACAGGATATCAAGAACATTATAAGGATCGTAAAACTAACAAAATAAGAAGATTATGAAATATTCAAGAAATAATGCTGAAATCTCAACACTCCCCCTCAAGTTGGTGCATATGTAGATGTCACACATGCCTAACTTGTGTAAAACTTGTGAGAAAATATGTTTGGAGATAGTCTTGGTAAGAATATCGGCCAATTAATCCTCTGATTGAATCTTGGGCAATTCAATAATCCTGTCATCTAGTTTTTCTTTGATGAAAAATCTATCCACTACAACATGCTTCGTACATGTTAAACTAGATTGTGAGCAATGTCACATGCTATTTTATTGTCACAATATAATTGGATTGGTTGATTAGATTATGGCCCAACTCTTGCAGGAGAAATCTTAGCCATAAAGCTTCACAAATCCCAAGTGTCATTCCCCTAAATTCTGCTTTAGCACTTGAATGTGTTACAACATTCTGTTTTTTGCTTCTCCAAGTGACTAGATTACCACTTACAAAAGTGAAATAACCAGAAGTGTATTACCTGTCATTTACTGCTCCAGCTGAATTAGTATCAGTATATGCATTCATATTTTGGTAGTCCTCATTTTTAGTAACTATGATTCCCTTTCTAGGAGCATGTTTTAAATATCATAAGATGTGCATAACTACATTCATATGTTGTTCCCTAGGTTATGCATGAACTGATTGACTATACTCAATGCATAAGCAAGATCTAGCCTAGTGTGTGATAAGTTCATCAATCTTCCCACAAGTCTCTAGTATCTCCCTTTATCAACTGGTACGTGATCAGTCTCAACTCCTAATTTCAAACCTTCTATCACTACAACAAAAATGGCCTACGGCAACACTGGATAGTAACACTTTTCTTTAAAGTGTTACTGCAGACTATCTATAGTAACACTTGATGTTAAAATGTTACGACAACAATTTTTATATGTAACACTTTAACTTTTTGTAACACATTTTATATCAATGGTAACTTTTCTTCGTAAATGTTATGGAAAATATATCTACAGTAGCATTTTTAAAGTGTTACAATAAATCTAATAATATAGTAACTTTTTTATAATGTTACCATATAATAAAAATACAGTAACATTTTATAAGTGTTATTATAAACCCAATTATTTATCGGAAAATAAAATATTATTCCCGCTAATATGAAATGAGGTTGATTTTGTCTCATTTTTATTGTTTAGGGGTCAAATTTACTATTTGGGCTTTACTTTGTTAGATCTCATTCATGTAGGGACCAAACAAATGTTTTTACAAATAGTATAAAAGGAAGATGGAAGGTTAAATGCAAAGCTAAAAAACGTCCACCCATCTTCATCCATTTTTTAGAGATCGTCCAGCTTCCACCTTTAACGAGCATTTTCCTTCTCCAATGGCTGGCCATCATCACGTAAGACATTCCTGGATTCCAACGACCATTAAGCTTCCTCCATCTGTGACCATTCATCTTCTCGACGACTTTAATTTCTTAGTTTTTTGGCAACTTCTAGACATCCTAGGGGCTGGTCTATACTCCCTAAAGTCAGATCCACCTTTCGTAAGCTTGGTTGACTCAAAATCTCACTTGAAAAAGTCATTTCACTATCTTGACTCTTCACCTTAATTCTCGGTGTGATTTCGTCACTTTTTTGTGTCGTTTCGTCTCCCAAGTGTTGCAGTTGTCCATCATTTCAACAATAAGTTGTCACATGTACGCATTTGGGTGTCTCGTTGCCTGGTTAATGGGTAGGGGTGCAAGGGGCAGCACATCCCGGCCCGTAGGCAATTTGCGTGTATTGAAATAATGTTGATTTCATTAAATTAAAATATTGTAACACTTAACAGTGTTACTAAATGAAAATATAATAACAAATTTTATTTTCCTAAACTTTAACCGGGAAAAAATTTCTCTACCCGCCAAAGAAAAAAAATCCCCCCCCAAAAAAAAATAAAATATACCAAGTACCTTTGTCCTTATTCACTGATCTTCTCCAATTCACGCCACTTTCAATTTTGCTTCTTTACTAAAATTTCAGCTCCAAGCTTCTTTCTAACACAATTTTCGTTATGTCAATAAAGCCACCCTACACTTAAAGCATTTTCAACTCATCCAACCTACTCATTCAAACAAAATACCCTACACTTAATCATCTTCATTCAGTAAAAATCTAGTGAAAATCATTGGTTTCATCAAAATTTTAGCTTAAAATCTCCAATACCCATAACCTATTGAACCCTAAATGGAAGCCCTCATCCTTTAAGAGGCAAATCAGTGAAGCTACGGTTCAGGTGAATCATTTTCTTGCATTTTTTCTCTGCGTTTTTTGCTCTGCATTTTTCATAAGTTACGGTTCAGCCAAATCAATGATTTGATTTCTATAATGATTGAACTGTTTGAATGAATGATTGTGGTGCTTAATAAGATTGATTTATTCTTTTTGGTGCTGAAAGTTGTTTTACTTAACATTAAACTAAACTTAGTGATATGAATTATTGTGGTGCTCTTTTCTACTTTCTGTTTTGGAAAGTTAAGTGCTTTTGGGAAAGCAAGCTTTTTGCTGTGTGCTTTTGGGAAATCCTACATGTTTAACACAAAATCTTAGATTTCTAAGCTTGCAAAACTGCGACTCATTTGCAAGTTCATAATTGTCAATCTAACAGCCTTCCTTCCCAGAAAAGATCAGCAACATCATACAAATACTATCACCATAGGAATTTAGTTTATTGAGCCAGTGAATAAATTGTAAAAAGCCCAAGTCGCTTGAAATCTAATAATTTACTAACACTATACAATATTAGTCATATGTTCTTTCTGTTTTTCCACATTAATTTGAGGTATAGGCATAAAGCACAAGGTTAAGGAATCATCCAGATTTTAAGAGGCACTCCATGTCCTTTGGGAAGTTGATCTAAGTATCCTTATAAATGTAACACATACCATCAAAAGAAAAGAAAGTGAGCAGTTACAGCATATGAAACAATAATAACAAAGATAAATTGACCAGATAACATTAAAAGTAATTTGAAAAGTGATGAATGACCCATCAGGATATAATCATTAACATGAGTTTTGAATCTGGTACAAGACAATAAGCAGATCACAAAGTTCAGGCATATTTTGTGACGTGTGAAAGAAGTATCTATTCAGATTTTGCTATAGATGGCATGAGATCAGTTGATGTCTAACATAACCATGCACCACACTACCAGCCCACACATTTGTTGATTGAGCAGCAGCAACCAGCACACTGGCAATCAAAATAGGATCTGCCTTCTTGCCTTCAATATGCATTTTCCTGAAATAGTACAATGCCTTTTCATAATCTCCATATTGAGAATAACCCGTAATCAAAGCAGACCATGTTTGCAAACTGAAGACTGCTGTTTGCAATCTGCAGCTTGCAAAACTGCAGTGCAAACTACAGTCTGCAGTTTGCAGACTACAGAAAGAAAAGTCAGTTAATTTTAATTATGAATTTGATAAGTTCTTAACTATGTTTGCCATCTGACAGTGAGTTGCAAGTGTGTTGGAATTTTAACCAGATAAGTTTTCTGCAGGACTTTTGTGAGGTTTGCCCAAATAAGCTGCCAAATTATGAAGAGAAGATAAAAAATTTCTTTGAAGAACATCTGCATACTGATGAAGAGATACGCTACTGTGTGGCAGGAAGTGGTAGGATTACTTTGGTGCTTGGTTTGCTGTTAGTACTTACCTTAATTTAAGTTCTTAGTGGTCTTTTTTCTGGTGAAGGTTACTTTGATATCAGGGACCGTAATGACAAATGGATTCGTGTATGGGTAAAGAAGGGGGGAATGATCGTTTTACCTGCTGGCTGTTATCACCACTTTACATTGGATACAAACAACTATATTAAGGTACCAGTATTGTACATCTCTATGCAATTTCAATTTGTAGCTTGTGTGCTTGCAGACTCAACAACATTTTACCTCAACACGAGCCCCTTAATAAGGAAAATATTGTCTACCTTGGGAATTTGAGTTTTGTTTTATTAAAGTTGGCAATGAAGATACACTTGTCTTTTTTCTTCATGTTTGCATAATGATTGAAGATGTAGTTTGAGACATTAGGTTAGATAGCTGCTACCACTTCCATAAATTGATACAAGGACATCTAAATTAATTAATTTGAAGTAGTTTTCTTCTAGGCAAGTTTTGATGTTTGATGAATAGCTATAGCCGTTGAATTGGGATTAATTAAATTCTCAGAGGCATCTAACAGGAATCTGCACAGACTTTTCCATAGAGGAGTTACTTCAATTTTATTTGCTAGAAAATGATATTATCGCCATGATATTATAAAAAAATTTCCTGACTATAAGGCTTGTTTTATTGTAGTTGGATGATTGGTACTTTATTATTAAGTTTCTCATTGTTGTGTTTGATTCTTATTGGACCTTGGTGTCTTGATAGACATTTCTGGAGTTTTTAACACTAATAGATTAATTGGTGGTAGTGTACTTGATGTGTACACTATGCACCAGATGATCCAAAAGCACTTGTTCATCATGTTCCTATTGGACCTAATGCTATGAGAGTTTGGATTGATATAGCCAATGTCCCTAATGTGTTTTTGTGGAGGTCTGCATCCGAAATGGTTTTTGTTGAAGATGTTGTTGGGAGTACAGTTGCTTGGCCTTCTAACAAAGTTGTCCTACCTTTTCGAAAACAATTTTAGGTAACTTGTTTTCCATTTTAGCAACTAATACGTTTTTGTTTTGAGTCTAGTAACTAGTGAAGTTGGTTTATGTTGCAAGTGAGACTTATTTTCTCTTTTTCTTCATTTACTAGGAGATTCTTGATGGTGTGCAAACTGCAATATGCAATCTACAATTTGCAAAATTGCAGACTCTTTTTAGCATTCGAGACCCCCATCTTTGCTTTTTGGGGTTTTCCAGTTAAGGGTGTGTTAGCTTAACTTAAGAATCTACGTTTGGTGTTTGGTACTTTGGCAAAGAAATCATCAATTCTCTCGTTGAGGCAAGACCATTTAACAGTTTATGGTGAACAGATGTACATTATGCATTTCTTTTCTTGTGGGTTTGGCATTTTCTCTCTTTCAACATAATCATATAGGGTTCGATACCAGTTTAGTTGTTGATTAAAAAATTGAAAAGCAAGTTTAGAGGTGGAATAATATTGATTAGGTGACTGTCATTTTAATAACTTAATCATAAAGATGATTCATAAAACTCCGTTTCATATGATTGGTAACGGATGAGCAAATAATCATGTTATAATTGTTGCAATGAGATTACAGGTGGAATACAATTTTGCATACTGCAATTTTGCATACTGCAGTTTGCAGTTTTGCATACTACATTTTGCATACTACAGTCTGCAATTCTCTTGCCATAATAATCCTTATGTTTCCTTGTGTGGTTCTAACTTTGGTCATCTTGCAGTATGCAGTGAAGTAACCACAGTTTTGACTGCAGTTTGCAAACTGTAGTATGCATACTGCAGTATGCAGAATTGCATACTGCAGTATGTAATTTTGCATACTGCATTCTGCAATTCTCTTGCCATAATAATCCTTATGTTTCCTTGTATGGTTCTAACTTTGGTCATCTTGCAGTATGTAGTGAAGTAACCACAGTTTCCAAAGATGGAATAGTTTTTTGCTTTATACTCTTTTATTGGCTAGGAATGATTTTGTGATAACTTATTCTTTAGAACTAAAATTTGATGAGCCTCTAAACCTGGGGTTTGATAAATGAGACTTTGCTGGTGGAGAAACGTGATTAACTTTGTAATTTGTACCATTGTTTGTGCCAATGATGACAGTATATCATTAATGAGGCTTTAGGTTTGTTTCTTGTTTAATACAGTAAAATATGTATTTCTCATGACCATTTTTTGTGCCTATGTTGACAATATTTCATTAACAAGGCTTTAGGTTTTTCTGCTGGAACTATTATCATAGTATGTTATCATAGTATGCTTGTGAAGTTGGAGATATAAGCATGTTCTTTTCCTCTTTGTTTTGCATTAAATATTTGGGGTGCTTTTGTCTTGATCTTTTTTTGAATTTACAATATATATGTGTTGTTATCTTTGAGAATATACATGGGATTTGAAGATTTTTTTGTATTAATGGTTTTGTAGGTTGTGAAAATGCAAAATTACTTTTTTGCTAAAGTACAATTTGGAATGGAAGATGGTTTGCATGATGGTTTTTGTTAGAATTTTTTGAATGAGTGGAAGGTATTAACTATTGCTCATAGTTAATTTTCTAATCATCTAGATATTATAATGTAAAAATGATAGGTGCATATTTGTTAGGCATATATAAAACTTTTTGTATATGAAGGTTTATATGTTACAAAATGTGATATGGTATATGAAGCATATTAGATTTTATGGATGTAAAGAATGTTGGGTGCCTATTGATTAGGCATATATGCAAACTTTTTGTATATGAAGGTTCACCATCAATGAAATGTTCTTTGGAAAATTAGTGTATCATTGTTTATAATTTGTATTATTTAAATTACAACGATAACAATTTTATATATGTTATAACAGACACATTGATAACACTTTCAAAATATTATGGAAAATAATTTTGTAACGTTTACTAAATGCAATGAATGATACTGTGGTAGCACTTTTAACATGTTATTAAAAACTCTTCTGTAGCATTTTAACAATGTTACAGAAAACTAAACTGTAACCAGTTAAGAATGTTACAAAAAACTTATTTATAGCAATTTGAGATGTTACAGAAAACTAAACTGTAACATGTTAAGAAAGTTACAGAAAACTTATTTATAACATTTTGAGAATATTACAGAAAACTAAACTGTAACATGTTAAAAAAGTTACAGAAAACTTATTTATAGCATTTTGAGAATGTTACAGAAAACTAAATTGTAACAGGTTAAGAATGTTACAGAAAACTTATTTATAGCATTTTGAGAATGTTACAGAAAACTAAACAATAACAGGTTAAAAATGTTATAGAAAACTTATTTATAGCATTTTGACAATGTTACAGAAAACTAAACTGTAACACGTTAAGAATGTTACAAAAAACTTATTTATAGCATTTATGCAATGTTACCAAAAATCATTCGTAACTATGAATAAGTGCTACAATATACTTAACAACAACATTTTATGACAGTTACTGAAATGATTAGTAATATGCAAAAAGTGTTACCAATGTCTGCTTTTTAGTAACATGGGTTGTCATAGCATCCTTATAAATGCTACAAATTACCTACGGTAACACTTTTTGCATGTTACTGTAAGCCATTTTTGTTGTAGTGTATGATTGGTGTATTAGCTGCTTGACATGTTGACATAATAGTTTTCTACAACACATCCAAGACATATTTTATTTGTGATAGAAAGATACCTTTGTTAGATCAAGACACTTCGATTCCAAGAAAATATTTTAAAGAAACTAGGTCTTTTATCTCGAATTCCTTTGACAAGTATTTTGTAGAGCTTTCCTTTCTTCTGAATCATTTCTTGTAACCACCATATCATCCACATATACAATAAGTGTAGTGATCTTTCATTGTTATTTTTTAAGAAACAATGTGTGATCTGAATTGCTCTAATGGTATCCAAAAGACGTCATAACTTTTGTGAACCTCCCAAACCATACACTCGGAGATTGCTTCAACCCATATAGAGATTTCTTTAACTTACATACCTTTTGGCTGTGCTTCTCTACTGAAATACACCCTAGTGGAGGATCCATATAAATATCTTCTAACAATTCTCAATAGAAGAAAGCATTCTTCACATCAAATTGTCGTAAGGGCCAATCTACGTTTTCAGCTAAAGATAATAAGATATGCATCATGTTGATTTTAACTATGGGTGCAAATGTCTATGTATAGTTAGTCCCATAGTTTTGGGTGTACCCTTTTGCTACTAGTCTAGCTTTGAATCTCTCAATTGTACCATTAGCTTTATACTTCACAGTGTAAACCAATTCACATCCAACAGTCTTCTTTCCTGGTGGGTGATCAACAAGTTCCCAAGTTTCATTCTTCTGTAAAGACCTCATTTTTTCATTCATAGCAGCTTTTCATTTTGGATCAAATAAGGCTTCCTACACACTATTAAGAATAGATATAACAGATAATTGATTTACAAATGAAAAATTTGATTCTGATAAACGATGGTTAGACATATAATGAGTACTTTACCTTACTAGATAGTTCAGGTTGATATGTTGGTTTAGGAATCCCTCTAGTACTACGTAATGGCAATTGTTTCCTAATTGGTTTAGACTCCAAATCACGAACATTCTCAGCAAGAGATGGTTGCGGCATAAGAGATTGTTTTGGCATATCAGGTATGAGGGACTTGGACTGAGGTGAAGATTCTTCAGACGAATTTGGAATTACCTCAATATTTTCATCATCCATTGGATCTTCTTGTCGATCAACATGCCTATTTTATGAGTCACGGACTTCCATATCTTGAATAGTATAGTCAAGAGTCTAAATTTCTTCCTGACAATACTCCTCCTGAAGTTTAGACTTAGAAGAAAAATATATTAAATCTTCATGGAAAGCAACATCCATCGTCATAAAAATTTGTTGAGTTGGAGGATGATAACATCAATACCCCTATGAATGAACACCATACCCAATGAGAACACATTTCAATGGAAAAGGGGACAACTTGTTGCATTGATGTTTATGGATATGAACAAAGGCGACACAACCAAAAACATGAGGCGATAAGTTTGTGACCATTGGAGCATTCACTACTTTACTAAGAGCTTGAAAAGGTGTCTAAAACTCAATAGAACTAGAGGGTACCCGATTGATTAGGTAGGTAATCGAAGTGAGTGCTTTTCCTGGAAAAGATAATGGCATGTGAGCTTCTATTAATGAGGCATTACCAACCTCCAATAAGTGCCGATTTTTCTGCTCAACAAAACCACTTTATTGGGATTTGTTGGGACAAGTAGTTTGATGAATGATACCATGTGTTTCCAAATATGACTGAAGATCTAAACTTTGTTATTCTTCTGCATTGTCACTTTGGAGGACCTGAACTTGTGCATTATACTGCATATGAACCATTTTGTGAAATCTTTGAAAGAGCAAATTAACCTCTCCTTTGGATTTCATTAGACATACCGAAGTCATCCATGTACAATTGTCAAATTGGTTGTCACGGTCATAAAATTAATCCTAATTGTCGTAGTTAGTGGTAAGCAAGGTCGAATCCATAGGGAACAAAGGATAACCTGTGTATTTGAGTTAACAAATGTAAGATGGCAAAGTGATTGGTTAAAACTAAATGCAAATAATAAAAGCTTGAAATTAAAATGAATTAAGACTTTATAATAAAAACGCTACCGCTACGGTTTTGGTTCGACAGGAGACCAACTCACACAATTCTCCTCCACACACTACGATCCCCTAAACCTACAAGGCAAGGTAGACCAATGAAATCTCTTTTTGACACTCTAGGTATAACCTATCCTATCTCACCTGATCACGCAAGTTCGATTGGTTAAATACTATCATTGAATACTAACAAACACTACAAGAAATACCACTAGTTGGTACACGATTAACAAATACAATTTGTCTACACGTATCATCCATTCAACCAACTACATAATCAATGCAATACAAATAGAAATGGCATTAAATGCGAATATAACTCGATTACAAATGTGAAGTAATTTAAAGCAATACTCAACATTTAATTATCTCAAACCAACATTTATCATGCAATAGGTTTTATATCAACAACCAATCTCAATGGATAACACCAATAATCACAAATCATGCATCAAACTACATTAAAGTATTGTAATCAAATATGAAACAAAAACAAATATAATTTGATACACAATACTAAACCAAATGTCCAACGATCGAGTTCATCCAACTAGTCGAGAGCTGTTCAGAAGAGTCGTGGGTACCGATCTCGATCTCATCTACACCATAACAGATAACCGGGAGGTCGACGAAGGTTGAAAGGTAAAAAATGAGGTAAGTCATCGCAAATAAGACGTAACCAACAATGAGATGGCGTGCTTCATCGTAACAAAAGCACCCGAAAGATGAAGGGGCACAACTCATTAGAAAATGTTAGTGTTTTGTGGTGGTTCTCGGCAAGCAGTGGCAGAATGGAGATTCGAGGGTATGGGGAGAAAGCTCTCAAGTTGGGGAGTGAGGATTGGTAGCTAAGGAGGTGCAACGTCGTTGGAAAAGGGAGCGAAAACATGTTGGGAAGTTGAAGATGCATGGTGGAGGCAATGTGATTTCGACAAGTTTGGCAGCAACTAAAGCTTGGAAAGGATAGATCAGACCTTGCGGAAGGTGGATCAACTCCTAGGTAGATGAACCATCACCAAAAAATGGAAGAAAAGCCACCGAAAGTTGAAACGTCACCAATGAGGGGAGGTGAAACGTCGTGCGGTAGCAGGGAGTGATGGATGGTGGAGATCGGTGCAAGGGGAAGCTGGGGAGTCACCGGAAATGGGAGGATAAGGGTTGCCAATGGTGGAGCTAGGGTTTGGGGTGAGCAGCGCTTTGTATTCTGGAACTATTCATCTTCTTTTATACTTAGTCTAGGCAAATTTAGTTCAATCCTTACATGAATGAAAACTGACAAAATTAACCCCCAAAAATATGACAGTTTACCCCCTATACAGAATAAATGAGACAAATTCAAACTTAATTAATAAATCACAACTTAATATCGACTCACAACATCTCAAAAATCATTCCAAACATGCACAAATTGTAAGAAAAAAGTAAAATGTGATTTTCCATTAATAATTCCATAATTTCTTCAATTGTCTCAATATAACTTCAATTTAATTACACACAGGGTCTTTTTATCATCAAAATAGAGTCACTTTCATGACTCTAACACACTCCCCAACTTACTCTTTGCTCGTCCTCGAGTAAAGTTAAAGGAACTCTTTCAACATTCTCACAAAACCATACACAACCATATTCATCGACAATCAAGACATTCATCAAAAGGTAAAGTGAAGAATTTGAACATAACAAGTAAATAACACAATCCTAAATAAAGAACTAAAGTTTCTGTCAAGATTTGCCTATCTCCAT